GCTCTCAAGCTGCCACCGAAGGTAAAAATATTTTTATGGAAATTTACAAGAGAGGCATTAGCCACTGGTGAAAGGGTGAATAAACGAAACTCGCAGCAAAGTGGTGTGTGCCCGTTCTGTGACCAGTTGGAGACACAAGTGCATTCTTTCCTCGAGTGTTCATGGGTGAGTAGACTATGGCAGCAGTCGACAACAGCTCCTTGTTTTGAGCTGCGAGCAAGCCTTAGCTGCATGGACTAGGTACGAAAGGTTATAGACACAGTAGAAACAAGTGTACTAGAAGATTGGAGTGTTCTGTTGTGTTAGTGCCTCCTGCTATTCGATCCTTGTTGAGGCCTCTGCTGGGAAGGATCAAAATAAATAAGGATGCAGGTATAGATGCCGAAGGAGTAGGGCTGGGAGTGGTAGCAAGGGACCATAATGGAACTTTTATTTTGGCAGGGGTGAAGAGAGTTAAAGGGATTCATGACCCTACTTTGGGTGAGGCGATGACAGTCGAGTTTGGTTTGCAACTTGCTAGACGTCACTAGCTAGCTACGCCCTTTGTGGAAACTGATTGTTTAAGCGTGGTCAACAGTTTGGAGAAGGCGGACGAAGTTCACACAAAGGTTGGGACGGTGCTTAGGAGTATCACGAGGTTGGTGGTGATGACAGGCATCGGGCGTGTGATGCATGTGAGTAGACAGACAAATGAAGCTGCACATATTATGGCTTATACGAGAGCAAGATGGGATATATCAGATGTTTGGTTTGATAGGCCACCGCTTAATCTGTTGAATCAGCTTGTAAGTGATTATTTAACACCGGTTCCCACTTAATAAAGCTTTTTTTTGTCAAAAGAAATCATGTATTGATAAAAAAAAATAGACAGTTACACCTTGAAAACCAGCCAGGTCAAGAAATCAAAGAAGCGACTCATAGTCGGATACAAAGAGAGGGCTTTCCTAGCTACCAAATGAGCTACCATATTGTTCTCCCAACCTACAAAACACACACTAAAGCCAGGCTGAGTACGAAAATAATGACCAATCTCTTCCAGAACAGCACCCAACCGGCTATCTCTTGTGTCGGCTTGATTAAGATTGTCAATAATAACCTTCGCATCGCCCTCAAATAGGACCTCCAACAAGCCTTGCTCCATACACCAAATAATAGCTTCCCTAAGCACAAGCAATTCCACCACTGCAGGATCATCCATTTGATCAAACTGGACCCCTCTAGCCAGAAGGAGTGTCTGCGCTGGGCCAAAAAGAACCATCCCACCAGCCGAATGTGATCCACCCTTAGTAGCCCCGTCCCACATGCAAACCAAATGGGAATCACTCACTTGTGCTGCAGATTGCATCATCAGGATTTGTACCCTAGGCGCCTGGTCCGCTGGTAAACCCACCCACTCCTCATACTGTTGGTTAAACTGTCGCATGAGCGCCGGGATCCCAAATTGCTTGCCTTCAAAGACTACCAAATTCCGAGATCGCCAGATCCTCCAAAGGATGGCCACAACAGCCATAACCACAAACGGTTGATGGATCAAAGCCAACAGACGTTTGAGAAACAACGGAAAAGTATGCTGAGGCAAACCCTCCCCCAAGTAATCCAGCCCAGAATAATCCCAGAGAGCCCGCGCAACCGGACAATGAAGAAACAGGTGTTCCATTGTTTTCGGGCCATCCCAACAAACTGGATACCGAGGCAGCACCTGGACCTTTTTCTCAATAAGCGCCTCCATAGTCGGCAGAGCTCGATTAAGAATTTGCCAAACAAAAACCTTCAACTTCGGAGGGGTCTTTGCCTACCAAACTCTAATCCAACTCGGCTTATCCATCCAGCTAACCGTGGATCGCCACCCACCCCTCCTCTTGTCCAAGTCCACAGCCAAATGGTACGCCGACTTAACCGAGAAAACCCCGTCGGCCGTAAAATGCCAGATAAGCTTATCAGGCACATCACACCGCGGGAGAGGAGTAGCCTTAATAGCCTTACAGGTGGGCAGGTCAAACCATTGGCTGAGCTTCTCATCAGACCACCTTCCTCCCCCCTCACAAATAACCTCCGCCACCAAGGGATCACCCCCCCCCCCCCCCAGGCAAGATCCGCAGATTATAGCATGGGGGATCTAGTTGGTACCTGAGAATCCAGTTAGAATGAAGGAGGGAGACCGATTGGCCATTACCAACCTGCCATCTCAAACCCATCTCCAATAACTGACGCCCATGAAGGATACTTTGCCACCCCCAAGAGGGACGAGACCTAGCATTCGCGGTCAGGAAAGACCCTTGAGGGAAATACTTGCCCTTATAAATCTAGGCAATAAGCGATTGAGGTTCATTGAGGATATTGTCAGCCTATCTTAGCAAAAAGAGCTTGGTTGAAATGCTCGAACTGGCGAAATCCCATCCCCCCTCATGCTTACTCCTGCACATGTTCCGCCAGGACACCCATCTAATCTTGGGATTACCGTCCTCAGCACCCCACCCAAAGCGGGCCACATGCCTATCTAAAAGACAACAAAGCGCCAGGGGAAGACGGAAACAAGACATAACATAAAAGGGGGAGAGCCAACGCTATGGATTTAATCAAAGTTTCCTTTGCAGCCCACGACAATGTCTTTTGCTTCCACCCCTGAAGACGCTCTAGGAGCTTTTCCTCCAAATATCTGAAAGTAGCCATTTTGGACCGAGCAACCAGCGTTGGAAGCCCTAGATATTTATCGTGGACCCCTACCGCACCAACCCCTAGAATCATGGCCAAGAACTCCTGATCTGGCGTGGAAATATCCTTGCTAAAGCACACCGCCGACTTCACCAAGTTAACGCGTTGGCCACTCAGTTCCTCATATTCATTTATCACCTCAATTAAATTCTCGCACTCCTGTAGAGAACCTCGCAAAAAAAGGTAAGAATCATCCGCGAAGAACAGATGCGAGACTCTTGGAGCCCGAGGAGCTACTTTCACCCCCTCTAATTTTTTCTCCGTGATCGCCTTTCGGAGGAGGGCTGCAAACCCCTCCGTGCACAGTACAAACAAGAGGGGAGAGAGCGGATCTCCCTGGCGAAGGCCCCTAGAGGCAGTGAAATAACCCGAGGGTGTACCATTCATCAGAACCGAGAAAGAGAAGGATCGAAGACATTCATGTATCCATCCTTGCCAGACTGAATTAAAACCCATCTTATCCAAAAATGCAAGAAGGAAGGACCATTCGACTCTATCATAGGCCTTTTCCATGTCAACCTTCAGAGCCATGTACCCTTTCTTCCCTTGCTTTTTATTTTCAGATAATGCATTAGTTCATGTCCTATAAGGATGTTATCAATAATCTGCCGGTCTCTGATAAAGCCATTTTGGCCTTCTGAAACTATCTGGGGGAGCATGCTAGCTAGCTGTTTAGCCATGATTTTGGTAATCACTTTGTAAACAAACTGGCGGAGACTAATCGGACGCAATTGTCTAATTGTTTCCACCGAGTCCACTTTAGGGATCAAAGTGAGCCAGGTATGGTTAAACCTCCTCAACATTCGACTCGAGGTAAAGAAGGAGATTACTGCTTCAACCACCGAATTGCCCACAATATCCCAGAAAGCTTTAAAGAACTTCCCAGTGAAACCATCCGATCCCGGGTCCTGTTTCGAACCCATGGAAAAGACCGTACTCCGGACCTCACTAGGAAAAACCTCCGCTGTCAATTTTGCATTCATTTGCTGAGTAGCAGGTTTCGATAAAAAAAAAAAGAAAGACTAATTTTGATAATAAATACGAACGAATGTGTCGTAATTTTGTGGAAAAAATCCCAAAATACTCTAATTATTAAAAAAAATTCCCTAAATACAGTACTTATAAACTTATTTCCCAAAATACAGCAGTTTCAACATCACTGTTGTATACCAAAACAGTGATTGCAATCACCGCTTTGACCAAAAAGGTGATAGCATCATCGCTTTCAACCAAAACAGTGATGCTATCATTCAAAACGGTGATAAATTCCCCGCGCTTGTGCGAAACGGTGATAATAGACCACATCATCGCCGTCGACAAAAACGATCACATCATCGCGATGGACCAAAATGGTGATAATTGACCACGTTTTATAGCCCTGGTAGGTGGGAAATTAGGTCACAGCGACCTAGCTATCACCGCTTTGGAAAAAAGCAGTGATGTGTTCACCGCAATTGTCCACAGCGGTGATTAGCTGCCATTTTTTCCTATAAATACTGGCCACCACTTTCCCTCTTGCTACCTTAAAGCAAATTAGTACAAAAATTAGTGTTTTATTAGTCGTTTTCTCAGCTCGTTTGGAGTTGGTTTACTGCTCAAGAAACTCGTCGGGATTCGGTATGTTATAATTATGTAATGTTTACATGTTGATGTGTTAGTAATTTATATGTCTGTATTTAGTGAATTGCGGTTATTTGAAAATATGTTATGATATATTTAGATTAATTATGATATGATAGATGTTAGTTAGTTAGTACTGAATTTAGATGAATTTGTTTAGTTTTCTCATGATAGATCGGGAGTCGGTATGTTATAATTATGTATTGTTTACATGTTGATGTTTTAGTAATTATATGTCTGTATTTAGTGAATTGCGGTTATTGGAAAATATATTATGATATATTTAGATTAATTATGATATGATAGATGTTAGTTAATTAGTTATGAATTTAGATGAATTTGTTTAGTTTACTCATGATAGATCGGGCTTCGGTATGTTATAATTATGTATTGTTTACATGTTGATGTGTTAGTAATTATATGTCTGTATTTAGTGAATTGCGGTTATTGGAAAATATGTTATGATATATTTAGATTAATTATGATATGATAGATGTTAGTTAGTTAGTTATGACTTTAGATGAATTTGCTTAGTTTTCTCATGATAGATCAATTACATGCGTTTGTTTATGCCTTTGGATGATATTTTTTTTGTATCCCTAATGTACTAATTATATACTATACTTAATTATTATAAATTGCAGACATGGGTAAATTTAAGAAGTTTCGGCTTATTATTCGGTGGAATGGTCGGGTGACAAACTCGAACATTGGGATCGACTATGAAAATGGCGAATCCACTATGCTAAAAATTGAGTCGAGATTCTCGTGGCTAGAACTCCATGACATTTGTGCAGAAAGGACTTGTACGGGCGGGCAAAGGAGAGTTGGTCAAATTGCTTACCGCTATCCAAACATGAGTGTTGGCGGAATCATGTACGAAAAAGTTGTCATAAATGATGATGACTCGGTGAACATGATGATACAATTCCTATCTGACAACGGGGTGCGGCTGGCAGAGGTGTATGTCGAGACCGAGCCGGTCGGTGAAACTCATTCTCACCAGTATTCTTGTGATGATGGTTTTGCAGGAGGGTATGGCTGGGGTGGTAGTTCAAGTAACTACGGAGGAGGTACTTCTGCAGGAGGGTATGGCTGGGGTGGTACTTCAAGCAACTACGGAGGAGGTAGTTATAAAGGAGGTGTTCGATACCACCGCATGTAGCCATCGTGGTACCCCATTGGCCTCGTCTCCGGCAACCCTTGGACCACCCATTGATTTCTATTCTCCCATATGTTGATGTAGAATTCATGCTTCTTGACCCAATCCTTTTTGGTGTAGCGTAGGTCAATGGCGTGGAGCTCCCTGAACCCTTGAGGTGGGGATGCTGGAATTGGTTGCTCCAATCGATATTGCCTCAAAGATCGATCGGGCAGGTGCCATTCCACCATGTGCCAGCAGATTAAGGGCACCTTGCACAACCATGTCTCTTGATCCTCGGGATGTCTAAGACGATGCAACTCAACCACTTCATTTGGATATGGATCCCATACCGCCTACAATCATTATAGTTCATGGAATTAGTACAAATTATATCCATTCCACCTAAAAAATTAAAAATGATGAAATTTTATATTTTTACCTGGTTCCACCAAGGCTTATCAAATTCATCACGATAAAACAGCAAAGAGTGTTCGGGCTGGTGGTCGTTTGTATTTGCTCTGATCCACCTAATTAAGCAAAAGTACGTATATAAGCAATTTTTATAGCATAAATGTTTACTTGTTAAGTATGATTGTATGGAAGCATCTAAATTGAACTAAAATTCCTTACTTGGCAATAATCTAAATTAGCTAAATAAGATTTGGTTAGAATAAATCTAAATTCGCTAACTTGGAAGATATCTAAATTCACTAAAATAGTATAATTGCATACCTAAAATGTCACTAAATTTGCTTACTTGAAAGATATCTAAGTTCACTAAAATACTATAACTGCAGACTTAAAATGTCACTAAATTCGCTTACTTGGAATAGATCTAAATTCACTAAAACACTACCATTGCATATCTAAAATAAATTAAACTTAAATTAAACTTACTTGAAACCATATGGGGGATTTGCTACAAATCGTAGCTCATCATCTGGCAACCAGAATTCTCGAGGGTCTCGAGGTGCTAAAAACGGAAGATGCTCCCATGCCCAGAGTTGGAGTATGAACATCGCACCACCAGCTTGTTTCGCTCCCAACCTCGAGCAAGTACACAACTCTCGGTAGATCCCAGCCAAGACGGCCGACCCCTAACTTTTTTTTCCCGATCTCGTCCCAGTCACCGAGAAGCATATGTAACCACATGCCTTGTATCCACCGGTTTGACTTGTCGGGGAACAGAAACCCACCAACCAAGCCAATTAGGTAGACACGTGCATACCGCTCCACCTGATCTTCAGGAGTGTCCGGGCCTATATTAACCTCCATTTGGATGTGGTCAACAAGCCACAGGATCGATACTTGCCTCGCATTCAGTGGTGGATGCCCAACCCCGTCGACGGGCGTGGTGGTCGGCATGTTGAACCCCAAACGCTCTTGAATCAACGGCCCCCAACCATCTTCCGGTTTTCTCGATTTGTCGATGATGGCATCTCCGGTGATCGGGAGCCCGGTGAGGATGGCAACATCTTTGAGGGTGATCGTCATTTCACCCTCGGGAAAGTGGAAGGTATGCAGCTCGGGGCGCCATCGCTCTGCCATTGCCGTCAGCAGATCGTTGTCAATATCAAGCCTCATAAAGTGCCTTAGCATGTGCAATCCCGTCCTCTCTAGATAGGGCTGCAGTCGATCACGCCAACGGGGCAATCGACATGTCCCTCGATGACTGATGGGAATAAGTGATTCCTACAAAACAAAAAACACAATATTGTCAGTCAATAGAAAGCAAAATAAAAACTTTAAAACTATTGAAATAATTTTAGTGTGTCTACCGGATTATTGTTCCAAATTGAACGGGAGCGATGTTGATCTTGCCCGGTTAAATACCTTCGATCCCTTGGGCCAGGATCGATATACAATCGAGGGTCGTATATCTCAGCACCCATCTATAAAAAAATATGAAATCAAATCAATTTAAATTTTAGCACCCATGTAAAAAAATCACAAAAGAATAAAATAAATTTACGTACTCTCAAAGCCTCTTCGTCCAATTTTTGCCGAAAAGCTAGCGAGAGTATCGGCAAAACAAAAACTCTAGTAATTCTTTCTGATGCGGAAGATCGGACTTAGCCGCAACCACAGAGCATACTTAGAACGAAACTAGAGTGAAGTAATGGAGGGAGAAAGGAGTATAAAATGGTGGTGTGGTTTGGAATGGGGGGGGGGGGGGGGGTGCTATTTATAGGGGGAAGGGGCGCTGGAAAATTCCCTCAGCCAATCACCGCTTTCGTCGAAAGCAGTGAATTCACCGCCATTGAGGAGCGCAGTGATGTGCGGATCGCTGACGTGGCGAGGCGTGAGGCGTCGGATCGTGGAGAAAAACCACAATCCGCGCCTCACCGCATCGAACGGCAGCGGTGAAGGGCGCGGACGACGCGGATTGATGACGTGGCGGGGCGGGGCTATCACCGCTTTTCTCTATGGCGGTGAAGTGCCCGCGCGCAACCACGTCAGCGATCCGCGCCCTCTTCACCGTTTTCCCAATCAACGGTGATAGTGGCTTCACCGTTTCTCAAATCAACGGTCTCAGCATCATCGCTTTTAACAAGAGCGGGGATGGCATCACCGTTTTTGTCCAAAACGGTGATAGCATCACTGTTTTAGTTGAAAGCGATGATGCTATCACCATTTTTGACCAAAACAGTGATTGCAATCACTGTCTTGGTCTACAACAGTGATGTTGAAACTGCTGTATTTTGGGAAATAAGTTTATAAGTACTGTATTTAAGGAATTTTTTTTAATAATTAGAGTATTTTGTGATTTTTTTCCTACTCCGCCGGATCTGTACGGCTGTACCGTCATAGTCTGTCGAAATGTGAAATATTCTCCATAATCTACGTTTAAACCCCTCTTAGAACCCTCAATCGCCGTCCCGCCCTTCATCCACCGCGCCCCGCCGTCGTGATTTCCGCTTCCTCAAAATGTCGAATTGACAATTTCTCCTCGTCTCCTGCCATCACTATGCCCACTATTCAAACACATTGCTATCTCCCCAGTCCCGGCCTCGTCTCCAGGCGCTCTCTACTTCCCGGAGCTCCAACTCCAATTGGGCATGGGTCTTTGGGTTTCGTGTTCTCCGCCCCTTCCCACAGCGTTAAATTCTCCTTCCCGGCAGACTCCTTCGGCAGGAAAAGTAGTTCTTTCGGTTCTGATAAGGGCAGCGCCAACGGACAACGGCGGCGGCGATGTGGGACGGTCAGGGCCGCTGGGAGAGACCACTACTCGACCTTGAACGTCGGCAGGAAGGCCTCGTTGCAGGAGATCAAGAGTGCCTACAGGAAGTTGGCTCGTAAGGTGAGTTTGCTGCTTTCTTCTGGGATTGGCATTTTTTTTTTTAATTTGCCTCTGCTTGAGAACCATTGATGGTTTCTACGATTCAGCTAGGATTTTTAGTATCTCATCTCAAAGATTTGTCTTTAAACAGTATCATCCGGACTTGAACAGGGGCCCTGGAGCAGAAGATAAATTCAAAGAGATTAGTGCAGCGTACGAGGTAATAGCTCTTTCAGCTACTGTTGGTGCTTTTACGTTGTGATTAGTTTTCATGGTATGAATGAAGCATGAAAGCTGGTTTGATTCATCTCAATGAGCTAAGTCCATAAGTACTTTCATTGTTCGTAAGTCCTATGTACATGCGTTTCTTGATCTGTTTTCTGTTGCTAAATGTTGCTTCTTGCAACCTGATATTCTTAGCTGAGTGCCAATGAGTTCCTGCCTGACCAATGGGGCATGCCAAGTTTAGAGTATTTTAGGAATTAACATTCCAGCTTTTGTAGGTGCTTGGAACGGGGTAGCAATTATGCAATTGCCTGTAATTGCACCTGTCATGTAATCCTTTTATTTTGGATTTCCTAATGAGGCAATTGTGCAGGTCCTTTCAGATGACGAGAAAAGGTCTGTGTACGATCGTTTTGGAGAGGCAGGCTTACAAGGGGAATATGATGGATCAGCTGCTGGTTCTCCTGAGGTAATGATCTATTCGACTTCATTTTCTCTTTGTAGCTCCAGACAAATGTATCTCTCGTGAATGTAGCAACTCAACTCTCGTTCTGTGATACTTTTTTATTGAGTGAGAATTTACTTCTTAGACTTTGTAGTACTACTAGCTGCTGCATACATGTATGTGGACTCACTATATTATCATTTTTTCAGATGGATCCGTTTGACATATATAACACATTCTTTGGCGGTTCAGATGGGATTTTTGGAGGAAGGGATGGCGCTGGTGGCTTTGGTTTCAATTTCAGACATACGGCAAAGCAAGACCTTGACATCCAGTACTGTATCTCAGCGTGACTTATTTCTTTAAATAATGACATCTTAAGCCAAAATTCGTGATTCCTCGATATATATATATTCGGATCTTTATTTGCTGCGTATTTCTTCAAACCAAATGGCTAGTTAACATGTTGCTGGTCATTTCTTTTCTCATAGATAGCTCTAAAGCATGACATAATTTTTGGTAGAGAAGTCTGGTTTTATGAATAATTCTTGAACCAAAAATGAATTCATGGATTAGTGCAATGGCATACAGTCTCTCAGGTTAGGTGTCCCATTTTGGATTTGGGTGTGTGCGCCTGCTGTGGGAACTTTATCCTTGGCTGCTTCAACAAAGAACTGGGCTTGTACTATCCTGTTGAATAAGTATTGCGAAGTGGTTCAACTCTGTGTTTGTTGAAATTGATCTATTGGTTACTCATTTTCTAGTTAAAGAATGAAAGAAACCTCAACTAGTGCAAATTATGATATTAAACTCACTGGAACTTCCGCAAAATTTTGCTCTCTTCTGCCAATTTTATAGACTTTTTGAACCTTGCTTTTGCAGCCGTTCTTTTCTTGTTCTACAAAATTATGAATGCATCTAATCCCGTTGCACTTTAGGTGTGACTTGTTCTTGAGCCTGGAAGAATCTGTTTTTGGAGGAGAACAAAATATTGAAGTTTCTGGTTTTGAGACTTGCGGAACCTGTGATGGAACGGGCGCCAAATCTAGTGATTGTATAAAATTTTGCACAGGATGTGGTGGTAAAAGGGGTGTTATGAAAACCCAAAGAACTCCTTTTGGAATGATATCACAGGTAACTTGACATGTTGGTCCTTGCTTATTGATTCAGTACTGTTATTTCTTACATTTGTTATCTTTATTGTGTGCAGTTCCTTTATTGTTTCTTTTTTCCTTTGGGTATGTTGCCTTTGGACCAATGCTAGGGGAGACATAGGACACAATGAGGAACTGATTGCTTGCTCTCAATAAAACTAACTAGTTTTTAGCTTTGCTTCATTGTTGTTGTAATCATATTCAGTAAATTATCCTTTCAGGAAAAAGAAAGAGTTCCTTCCACTTTGTAACCGTAAATTTCTTTTTGCTTCTGGATGTCCGAAGTTGACACCTCATGGTTGTGACCAATTCCAATGGGTGTATATTCATTTCACCTCTTGCTGTTCTTCATGATAAAACCATCTCTAGCTAAAGTTGTATCCAACTCTATTCTTTCTGAATATATGAGTATGGTGATGATAGATTATGATGTCAGGTATCTACTTGCTCAAAATGTGGCGGGAAGGGCAAGGTAATCACTGATTGCTGCCAAAGATGTGGTGGCAGTGGCAATATAAGTGCAAAGCGGCAAATTAGACTGAATATCCCGCCTGGTGTCAGCAATGGATCCACAATAAAACTTCGAGGAGAGGGAAATTTTGATAAGATGAGGTATATTTGAATGGATATTTGTTTACTTGGAGTTTTGTCTTTGCTATTTTCCACCCACATCTGGTATGCTTATTTATTTAATTTTTCCTCAGAGGCTTTGCTGGCAATCTGTATTTAAACATCCATGTCAATGAAAAGCGTGGAATTCAGAGGGATGGTCTCAATCTATACTCGAAGATCAATATTGACTACACCGAGGCTATACTGGGGGCTGTATTAAAGGTATGGAATGCTATTTGTATTTCAGTTTATCAGGGATTGCCACCTTTTATCATACTGACAAGTGAATTACTGGCCTGATAAGTTAGAGATTGACATAAAGATTAAAAATTCAGGTGGAAACCGTCGAAGGTGCAAAAGATCTGCACATTCCTCCTGGAATTCAGCCTGGTGAAACCGTAAAATTGTCGCGCCTCGGGGTTCCAGACATAAATAAACCTTCTGTACGTGGTGACCATCACTTCACTGTCAATGTTTTGATCCCCAAGTATATCAGGTGGGTACTCAAAACTGTTTGCGCTCTTAGGGTCTTGTAGTAACGTGCTTCCAGCTCCATATATTTTCTTCTGTGGCTCTCAAGTTAGAGGGAAATAAGCCCGTCATGTTTATCAGTTGCTACTCTTTACCCGAATTGCTGATTATTGTAATATCCTGGTAATGGCAGTGACAGAGAAAGAGCACTTGTCAAAGAATTGGCGTCATTCAAGTCGTCTAGCAAAGCCAATGACACCTCCTCTGACAGCTCTGGTACTTCATATTTAGTTCTTTTTTTCAGTTTGAGGTTGTACTTTTTTTCCATATCATGTTTATGCTTACTAGTGAAGTGGAAGAGACCCGATGGAAAGTGGTAGAGGGTAATGTAGAGTTATAAGGAATTTCCTTATTAGTCATACCACACGAAGGGTTAATGTAGAGTATAGAATTCCCCTGCAACTCACTCTAATCTACTTAAATAAAACTAAATGTAAGGGAGCATAAAGATCAAACCAATATCCCTAATAGTTATATTGGTTTTGTATCTAGTTTCATCAACGGACGAGTGACTTACCTTTTCTTTCAGGGACATTCAAAGGAAATGCCAGGAGAGACAGGACTCAAAGGTCCAAAGGTGTTGCATCAGTTTGGGGCACAATTAAAGACTTCATGGGGTATTGTCTCAACAGCTTGCCTTTCTACTTTTGCACACACTTGTCCAGCCAAGTTCCTAGAATCAGTGACATACTATTATTTCATTGAAATATGAGTGGTGGCCTATAACATGTTGTTGCTCATAAATGTTAGTTGCACAACTTGCATTTTCAGCTTTCTGGCAAAGACATGAAAGATTGAATAGTAAGTCTCTTGATGAACTTTTGCAGGAAAAGAAGGGATCAACAAAGATTCTCATCAGTTACCCTCAGCACACCACCATTGACATTGGCACGAAGTTCAGAGTCGCCGATCCAGGTTTTGATACTGGGAGTTGTGCTGCTGACAATTTTCTTGACATTCACACGGCGAATTAACGAGATGAATGCGAAGAAGCAGTAACAAACATGTACCGAAAAGATGAAAGCGACATGGATATTGGTCTTCCCAGATGAACAACACATTTCGCCAGTGCGATCAACGAAAAAATCCACCCTTGCCCCCCCCCCCCCCCTGCTTGCTACATGAGCTGCCAATTAGGTAATCAAACATCCAAACTGAATTAGCAAAATTTTAGCTTGAAACCGTCTTGTGAGTTGTGAGCAATTTTGACTTGCTAGTTTTAGAAAGCAGGGAAAGTGAGGGACAGACAGCACTGGCACCAACACCCAAATACGGTTGAATTAATGGTGTCTAGTCTAGGTCCCCCATCCATAATGAGTATATCTGATCTTTTTCACAGCAGGAATCGGCTAACAGTGTCTCGTGCTGAAAGTGAAAGCTTTTCATATTTTGTTGTGGTAATGTTAATTTCTTGTGAGATTATGGTTATGGGGCGACAGCTCGTGGGGGGTGCTATTATGATTTTGTGAGCATCCTCCAGCCCATTGCCAAGCACTATAGTGGTTGACAAGGTGTAGTGACACTCTGTTTATTTATCATATATTGGTCGGCTATATCTCTAGCTGTTGCTGAGATTTTGCCTTGGATGTTAAAACTCTTTGAGGTTTATCATCTGAGTTCAGGATTTGATCAAATGGTTTCACCTATGTGAATGTTTTCTTACCAGGGCGCCTCGCTCGTGCAGACCTCTTCGTTGATATACGTCGAATCCAAGATTGTATGTTCATAGAATGCGATCGTGCTACAAGGGTTTGACAGATAAGAACGCCTCATTTTTTATGTACTTGTCTGGTTCGTCGGATAACCCTCGTTTATGGTGTAGTTGTCTAAATCACTGATATCCACTGCCCGACATCTCTGATTGTCATGCTGTGTATTCTTGAAAACTTTTTTATCCATTTCTCTTCCGTAGAAAAGAGATTGGAAGTGTGAACACCAAGATGAGGTAGCAGCATTTTGCACTGTAAAGTTGTGAGTTGGACTGTCATGTGTGACACCATTAAAAGGGTAAAAAGCTTCCGATAAAGGAAATGAACATATCTGTAAAAGCCAATTTTGAAAGGTGAAGAGCGAGCAGGGGAGAGGGTGGACACAGGAGAGTAGAGTGAGACTTCATTAATCATTATTAGTCCTTTTTTTTACATATATTTTATGAATGCCTAGACTCAAGTATTAATATAATACAAAATACCTGTTGTGCATGTGGTCGTTCAATTGGGCCGTTGTCAATTTTGTCATATGATCTGTACTAATAAATAAAATAATTGATTATTTTGTTTTGAGAAATAATGGAAATTATTATTATTAATGAGAAGAACTACCTACCATACCAACAAATTGAAAGAAAAGAAAACAATTTGAACCCAATGGCATGGGATCCCAATCCGTTGAATGGATTTGGTAAGATTCTTTCTTCTTGTTTCAAGGAATCATTTTGTTGACACCTTCCTTCCTCCCTACAATTAGTTACCCACCGAGCTCTTGGTTTTGTTTTCTTTTGGGAATTAACCAACCGGACAATGAGCTGCAGATTCTTGATAAGTTGTTGTGGAGAATCAATATTTCATATGATCTAAAATAATATAAACGATCACGCTATTTAGTTACATTCTCCACAGTAAAAAAAAAAAAAGTGAATAGTTAAATAGTCTTTGCTATCATTATTTGAGATATATATTGAATTTCGTACCAAATTTGTCGAAATTTGGTATTATCGAAGAAACATAATATTTTATGGGATTGAGATTGAGATTCAATTTCAAGTATTATTTGGTATTAGAGATTGCATGATTAGGTCGCTATAATCCACATAAATACCAATCAATATTGAATAAGTTGATATATATTTTATCCCTCCGAACTAGACTCCCTCATCTACTGCTATATGACCCTCAACCGTCAAATACATAGCTCATTCCCTTATTATTTATCAACTCATATTAAATTTATTTCATGTTTATGGGGTGTTTAGTAACCCCTATTCTATTGTATTGTTTTAGTTTGTTAATTTGTTTCTTAAGCACCAACATTTTTCTAGTTTGTTGTTATTATACTTGAGATTTCTTTTGTACCAGTACTGACACCATTATTTGTTTTATATATTTTGAGAATGGTTTGTAGAGTTACTGGTAGATGAAAAAGTATTTGTTTTTGTCTTTTAGAATGATAATTTTAAAGTGAATTGATTTGGTACATACGGATACCGAACTTATTTTAGAATTATGATTGAATTTAAAATACGGTTTAGTATTTAGAATTTTGATATTGGGCTTATACCACTACAACACCCAAACTATCCGGAAAATGCCACTTGTGTCCTATTGTTTCTAATATTCCATCTGTATCCTGAACTATTATTCCGTTAGTGTTGATCGGCGTTGACCGTTAGTATTTAACAGAAAATCCAGTCATCATTGACGTGGCATCTGACGTGGAATTTTTATTATCAATTTTCATTTATTTTTCCATATAAAATAATTAAAATAAGGAAAACAAAATAAAAATTATGGAAAATTACAAAAATAAAACAATAACTCAACTGATTTTTTACCAACGTCTGGCTTCTTCTTCTTTCTGTTACTCCGACCAAATCTTTCCGGATCGCCAAAAGAGAGGTTAGCAGCAGGCGCTTGTGCGGGAGGAAATCCACCCGATTAAGGTCGGGGATCTTGCGAAGACGCCGGAGTTGACGAGGATACAGGCGAGGTTGCTGTTGTTCACGAGGATGCTCGGAAAAAAATATTTCAGATCTGTCTGGTTTTTTATTTTTTTTCCCAGGGAAAGAAGAGATCGAAGGAGGAGGGTTCTTGTTCATCGATTAGGGTAGTAGGATTTTGGGTTCTTGGAAATCCCCACCCACCCCCAATCTATAATGGTGATTCAGAGTACCGATGATGGCAGATCTGTTCCTGCCGGTGGCAACAGAGGAATAGGTCAATGATTGCACCGACCCTATATTCGTCTGTGACGCTTCATCTCTGCTCTTGCAGACGCCACTAACGAAGCAGTCCGTCGAGATGACGGAGGTTGTGGCCGCAACCGATTCTCTTCTCCAGATTGATGATTCACTGGCGACCCTACTTCTCTTCTCCAGATCGACGATTCACTCCCTCTCCCTAGCAACTCCCCTTCTCCCATCGCCCCCACTAACTCCCTCTCGCTGCTTCTCTGCTTCATCGAGCTCAAATCCCTATGCTTCTCCCCCTCTAGTCCGGCGTTCACTATTGTTCTGCTGCTTCTCCCCCCCTCCAGTCTCTCTCTCTCTCTCTCTACTTCCAATCTAGGACTCTCTTTAAATGGCGGACAGAGCAATTATAGGCACCAAATCAACCGCCAGTCTCTGTCTCTGCCTCGACTTCCAATCCAGTATCGCCGACCACCGCCACTCTCTGTCTCTGACTAAGAGGAAGAACGGAGGCGGGGAGAAGAAAAGAGATTAGAAAGCCATTTTTATTTTATTTTTAATATCAATTTATTGTTGTTACTTTTTAAAATAATATTAATTTTAGGTTAAAAAATATTCTTGAATTTAAAGTTTTTTCAATTTTTTATTTAATTCAAAATTTAAAATGTGTGGTGTCAATGACTTGGCATTGCCACGTAAACAAAAGTCAATGTTAAGTTGACCGCCGTTTGGTCAATTGTTATCTTTAACGGTCAACGAAATTGACAGGATACAAATGGCACAAAATATAATAGTTCATGACATGAATTGAATATTTGAAACAATAGGATCACAAGTGGCATTTTTCGGATAGTTTGGGTGTTGTAGTGGTATTAGCCCTTTTGATATTTGATATTAGAATACCAATATTGTATCGATTACCACTAGAGGTGGCAATTGGATTGTGATTCATGAATTGGTGGATCCATGGATCAAGTGGATTGGAGGAGTGGTGGATAGGGCTGGAGATCAGGTCGGGTCCTAGTACCCGGACCGAAATAAGCGGGTACCCGGACACAAAAAACCCCAGTTTGAGGAACCATACTCGACCCAGACTCGTTTCTTGGGTACCCGAGACCCGAAGCCACGGTTCTCGGGTATGGTTCGGTCCCCCGAATACCCATCAGCCACTGAAGACAATTTGTTACAGCAGCTTTATTCAAGAAAAAAATGGAGGGTTGCTTTCGCTGGCTGCTGGAGTGGGAAGTGGAGAGTGGAGATTTAGGGTTAGGGGTCTAGGGGGTCCGAACTTCGGCTTGGCTTGGGGCCTGAAGGCTGGGTTGGCCCGTATGTGTGGCTATGGGCCATGTGATATTTGGCTCTGTGGGCTAGGATCGGTTCCACTTCGGGTCCTTTTATTTTCGGGTCCGGGTTCGGTTTATCCAAAACCCAAAAAATAGCCACATGTGATACCGAGACCCATTTTTCACTATGATATTTCGGTTCTCGGGTACCCAAAACCCAGAAATTTCGGTCCGATTTCGGGTTACCAATAAAACCGATCCCGAACGTCCAGCCCTAGTGGTGGATTGGATCATATGGATTGGTGGATTGATCCATGGATCCAAATGACATCCAAGCCTTGGACCAAAATATAAATTTTGAAAAGTTTAGGTACTAAAATGCCATAATAATTTTTTTAGCTCAATGACATATTTCGTATAGAAAATAAATTTTAGGTACCAAAATGTAAAATATAAAAAATATAAGTACTAAATCGTAATGTGTCATTTAAATCCTTGGATCAATTCATGAATCCGCCAATCCAATTGAATTTGGATCAAATAAATTGGTTAATTTGATATTTAAATGGATAGATGGAATTGAAAGGGCTACCTCTAATTACCACAGCTTCTACTGGCCAATGGCGCGATTGTTTCTGGGGTATAGACATGTGTGTGCTAATTTATAGTGTTAGTTTTATCTCTAAACAAACAACCTGTGCCGTGCTGTACTATCGCGGGGTTACAGCCCCACATCTAGGCTTTTGTTTTTTATTAATCAAATTAAAGATTTCACTAGTTTGCGTCTTGCTAAATCCAACTAGCACCTAACCTTAATTATTATTTTGTCCACAGTAAGGTTATCAAACCCATATTCGGCTGGTTCAACCGAGTCCAACTGAAACCGACCTTCTAAAAGGTTGGAGTTCACTAAGGTTGGACGGTTCTCATCACTTAAAATAGCGTTATCCAGTTTAAACCGGATGGCATGACCACTCAAAATTGGGTTTGAAACTTAGGATTGATAATTTTGTAATATATATTTGTTTTGAAAAAATAATTTCAATTATAAGTGTTTTGAAACATTACTGATATTGTTTCAAAATATGTCAAATATATGTATAATCTATTTGGTATTAGAGGTTTACTCATATATTATGTTAAAATCAATTTGAACTGGTTGAATCTGATTCGACCATTAAACCTCAACCCACTTGTCAAACTAGTTTGATGGTTTAATTCGGTTTGACAACCTTGTTTACCAGCCCGAATTCGTTCATTTGGTATGAGTTATTTGGAATTATTGCAAAAATAATTCCAAATCATTGTTGGAGGGGGGAATGAAAAGGCAACAACTGAGGATTAGTTTTTTCCCCTACTTACCTCACTTGTTATTCATCCGGTGTCGATTTATCTGGCTAGTTGTTATCTTCCACCGTCGACACTCTCCATTACATGTCGCCTTCCAAGCATACTGTCTTGCTTGTAGTCACACAGTTCGTATCATCTTCTCAAGGCGGACCAAGGAATTTCTTTTAGGAGTATCCTCTTCCAAAAATAAAAAATTTAATTTTATATTTTATTGAATGAGAAAAATGTTCAACTAATACAGGTTATAACAAACTAGACGTGTTTTCATATTAATATATATATATATATATATTAAAAAAATGCACTCGATGTCTATAATGTCTAACAAATATCTTTCAATATATCTTACTAGACAGTGATTCATGGACTGATAGCTTGTGTGCTTAAAAACTTGTTTTTATGTGACACAAAGCTAACCCATCCTTGTGGGTGAGTTCCTTAGACAACAACCTAAGCCATCCTTGTCTTATCCCTCTCAATTGCGGATTGTGCCTCGTCTCTATCTTTAATAGCTAAACATCTTTGTTAGGTTGGTGACTTGGTTGGTTTATTTACAAAATTATAAATGTCCTTGCAGTGACTTTAAGCACAATTATCAATTTATCATGAGTGTATGTAAATATTTGCACAAATTAAACCTAATTTGCTATGAGGACGATCCGTTAAAAAATGCAAATTAGTAATACGATATATATTTTGCACTCAACACACTTTCCCTCTGTTTCTTAAGAGGTTAATGTCTCTTCTGTGTCCATTGGCGTAGCCAGAGATATAATTTAGTGGGGTCCAAACATAACCAAATACGAAGTTTGTCTCGATAGTCAAATCATTGTCTCGGAAAGAGTGGGTCTGTGGTTCTAAATTTATTAACCCCACCTTAAAAATCCACCATTTTTAATGTATATTCATTTTCCAAGTGGGGTCCACGGACCCCACAACCCCTCACCTAGCTCCGCCAGTGTCTGTGTCAGCCATCCTTACTCATGGCGGTTGTTGCTGTCCTGTGGAGAATCTGGCGCTCTCGTAACTGGGTTGTCTTTGAAGGCAAGCAGTTTGGGATCCCTGCTCTGATGCGTCAGTACAACCAGCAGTATGAGGAATGGATTGGATTGCCTGTCGATCGGTGCTCGCCCTCATTAGTTCTGTCCCCACCTCAACCGGCCCAGGAGGAGGCGACGGGGCTGGTTTGTATGTGGGACGGGGCTACGAGGAAGGGGTCCCACTCTGCTGGCGGGATAGTTATTATGACCCCAGCTAGAGGGGTCCTGATGGCTGCTGGGTTTCAGTTTCCGGGTATTGATGATCCCTTGGTAGTGGAGGTGTTGGTGCTTCGCGAAGCGGTCATGTAGTGCCTGAGTCGAGGGATGTTGGAAGTGTGTTTTGAGGGTGATGCCAAGGTCATTATTGACAAAATCAACCAAGCGGATGCTAGTGATAGTCGGATTGGTGCTATTCTTGCTGAAATTATTCATCACTTGGCGCTTCGCTCAGGGTTGAGTGTGCGATTTGTAGGTCGGCGTAGTAATAGGGTAGCCCACTTGGTGGCTCGTAAGGCCCTCTCTTTGTACCCGACTGCAAGTCGTCTTTTTGATTTCTAGGCCTGACTGCTCTCCAGGATGTAATTATCTTTCTTTCGATCAATGAAGATTATCTTTTGTAAAAAAAAAAAGATATATATTTTGCAAACGTCTCATCAAATTCAAATACATAACTTGGATTAATACATTCTTCTTGAATATTCTTACTTACTATAATGAAATTAGACGAAACTCCAACTCTTTTTTAGTATAATTTTTTTTTTCAAATTTCATTCCACTTCGAATTATGCATTTTTCAATGCCAAACATGTAATTCACTACCTCATAATCATCCCTTCTTTTTATGGGTGAAAAGGACAATTATTAGTAAAGTTTGCTCCCACTAATTATCGTTTGTTTGTTCCCCATGTACGTAAATGGAGTCATACAATTCCTTTTAGCCTTATCTCATAAAGAAATATTGACGGAAAATTGGTTGGTATATAATAATATAAATATACAATCAGTCAGTTAATTAAATCTAAACCCGAAAAATGAAGGAGTTAAGATTCGGGAAATAATTAATTTGGGCGGTAAAGTAAGCAATAAAGCGGAAAACGAAACCGATGTTCTTCATTAGGCCAGAAGAAGACTCCTTTGGAAGTTGGAGACTGTAGTCTTTATCTTCTACAGATAGAAAATTATTTTCTCGGAAAATTCCAAAAAGGACGAGACTTTCATAAATTTTCTCGAGAAAAGTTACAATGGTGGTGGAGACTGGAGAGTAGTAAAGCAAAGCCAGTGGTAGAGTGAACCACACACATCTTTCAAAACCCACCATCTCTCTTTTTTCCGTTAGGGTTTACTCTGCTTCTCTCTCCTCTATGCTTTTCGTCCCTGACCCTGAGAGAGAAAAAAAAAAAAAAAATTAAAGCTCTCTTCTTTTGGGTAACCGAGGAGCTCACTTCCTTTTTTTCTCTCCTTCCAAACACCTCTACAATGTCTCTCTACAGTCTCAAATCTTAGTAACCCCAACCTGCATTTGGGCTTCTCGCCTCTTTCATCTTTTCTTCCTTTCTCTGCTTACAAAGTTTCCGCCATTGAAAGGGACCAAAGGGAAGGAAAAATGCAGACCCACAAGCTGGTTCCTCTTTTCTTCTGTTTCACTTTCCTTTCCGTTTCTTTTATCCCTCCTTCAAATTCAGATCTCGCCGCCGACCGAGCAGCGCTGCTCACCCTGCGGTCCACCGTCGGGGGCCGAACCCTTTTGTGGAATGTCAGTCAGCAGAGCCCTTGTGCCTGGGCCGGAGTTAGGTGTGAGCAGAACAGAGTCACGGTGTTGCGTTTACCCGGCGTCGCTCTCTCCGGCGAGCTGCCGAATGGGGTTTTTGCCAATTTGACTGAGCTGCGCACTCTCAGTCTTCGCCTCAACGCTCTCACTGGTAACATTCCTTCAGATCTAGCTGCTTGTACTCGTCTCCGGAACTTGTACCTGCAGGGGAATTTCTTCTCCGGCGAGATCCCGGAGTTCCTATTCACTCTCCGTGACCTCGTTCGGGTTAACCTCGGGGAGAACAACTTCACCGGTGGGTTCCCGACCGGGTTCGACAATCTCACCAGGCTCAAGACTCTGTTCTTGGAGAACAACCATCTGTCCGGCGCCATTCCGACGGTGAAATTGGGGAAAGTGGAGCAGTTCAATGTGTCCAACAATTTGTTGAACGGCTCTATTCCTCAGAGGTTGAGGACTTTCGATTCGGATTCGTTTTTGGGCACTTCGCTCTGCGGGCAGCCCCTCGATGCCTGCCCGGTCGATGGTGCCCGCGGGACTGTGGTGGTGCCCAGCACGCCGTCGGCGACAGGGCAGTCCGTCGGGAACAGGAAGAAAAAGTTGTCCGGCGGGGCAATCGCCGGGATAGTCATCGGGAGTCTTGTTGGTCTGTTGTTAATAGTCATGATTTTGGTCTTCCTCTCACGGAAAATCAGCAAGCAGAGATCGAGATCGATGGACATTTCAACATTGAAGCCTCAAGACCTGGAAATCATGTCTGAGAAGCCCATGGTGGATGTGGACGGCGGCGTTGGCCGCAACGGAAGTAGTGGGTACTCGGTGGCTGCTGCCGCTGTGGCTGCTATGGTGGGCAACGGCAAAGGAGGAGGAGGAGGAGGAGATGGTAGCTCTGGCGCCGCCGGAGCGAAGAAGCTGGTGTTCTTTGGGAAGACTACTAGGACGTTTGATTTGGAGGACTTGTTGAGAGCCTCTGCAGAGGTTTTAGGGAAAGGAACATTTGGGACTGCTTATAAGGCAGTGTTGGAGTATGGAACCGTGGTGGCTGTGAAGAGGTTGAGAGACGTGAATGTGTCAGAAGGAGAGTTCAAGGAGAAGATTGAATTTGTGGGCGCCATGGATCATGAGAGGCTTGTCCCCTTGAGGGCTTATTACTACAGCAGGGATGAGAAGCTTCTTGTCTATGATTACATGTCAATGGGAAGCTTGTCTGCTCTTCTTCATGGTGAGTTTTCTGTCCATCTTAAAGCTAGGATCCTTTGTGCTTTGTGAAAATTGATTACTTAGTGACAGTGGCTGTAGCTTCGATGAATGACGATTCATTGCTTAGCTTCAGCTTAATTTGCATTGTTTAGTATTATTAGCCATGTTTGGATGTGTGATCATTTTCTGTAAAGTTTTGTCATTTGTTGTTTGAAACTTACTTAACAGCTGAGTTAGTTAAAATGTTGTTTGGAGTCATGTATTTGGCTTTCATCAATGGAATAATTTGACCAGCATGGTCTAGTTGCCAAGCAATAATGCTTGTCAATGCAGATTCCTTGTTGATCAATCAATCAATCAATCAATCAATTGTTTGATAAGTCTTGTCTTGTGTCTTTAACTGCAGGCAACAAGGGTGCTGGTAGGACTCCACTGAACTGGGAAATCCGTTCCTCAATCGCCTTAGGAGCAGCTCGTGGCATCGAATACCTTCACTCCCAAGGCAAGGAAGTCTCCCATGGCAACATCAAATCCTCCAACATCCTACTCACTCCGAACTACGAAGCTCGAGTATCCGACTTTGGTCTCGCTCATCTCGTGGGCCCCTCATCGACTCCCAACAGGGTAGCAGGCTACCGAGCGCCAGAAGTCACCGACCCACGACGTGTCTCCCAGAAGGCCGACGTCTACAGCTTCGGCGTCCTCCTTCTGGAGCTGCTAACGGGAAAGGCCCCCACGCATTCCCTCCTGAACGAGGAAGGCGTCGACCTCCCCCGATGGGTTCAATCCATAGTGAAGGAGGAGTGGACCTCGGAGGTGTTCGATCTCGAGCTCCTGAGGTACCAGAGCGTAGAGGAAGAGATGGTTCAGATGCTGCAGCTTGGAGTGGACTGTGCAGCTCAGTTCCCCGACAACCGGCCTTCGATGGTCGACGTGACGAGGCGGATCGAGGAGATTTGCAGGTCGAATGGCAGCGCCCGAGATCCTCAGCAGCCTGCCGGTGAGGTGGTGGTCAGCCATGGAGATGAAAGCTCGATACTTTGAGAGAGCATTCATACATTTGCACATCCCCAATGAATGTAGAAAAATGCTCTCTCCCTTTTCATTTCTACCTCTTCTGCCTCTTTTTTTTTTTTTTTTCTTGTATGTCATCATCGACTCTAAATGTGGTGTGTGGTCTTTGGTTGTCCTGTTTCTGGAGATGTTGGTATTTTGGTTCTGTCGTTAATTTGCCAGTAGGAGGGTTTGTGATTTGATGGGTCAACATCATTAATTTACATTGGTGGGGTTGGTCAGTGGTTGGTTTGTGATGTTTTAACTATCTGTGGTTGGTTGGTGGGTGGGTGGAGTGGGTTGGTTCATGAAAGGATAAGGAGGTTGCAGCTATTAGTAGTGTTGTTTGTCTTCAATCAAAATGGTCCCTTTTCCTTCAAAGATGGTAACTTTTTTCTGCTTTGAAGGACATTTTGTGGGTGTGGAGTAATTGATGGTGACTCTCGCTTGCTTCTGATTCTACTATGAGTTGGCCAGTAAACACTAAACAGGGTAGATTTGGGAACTTGATATTCCTCTGTATTTCCATTGAAGGCTTGCCTATCAGCGAGTAGTTGAGCGGATTGAATCCTGGTGGTTAAATAAGGAGAGTCCAAATGTGTGAGTTGGTTTACATGTAATTTTACTATTTTAGTTATAGTTAGGGTTGGAAATGAGTTGTGAATTGTTCAGAAGCAGGTTGACATGTTCAATTCGGAAAATATTCGTTCAAAATTTGACTCAATTATTAATGAGGGGAGTCTGAGTTTTGTTCAGCTCGCGATTAATCTCATCTCTGTAATTAGCTGAGCTGACGAGATGTCTCAACATTGTGGCTAGTGAGCGAGTCAACTAGTTTACAGGCTTGTGGACGCGAATCGATCTATATCTTATGAGTTTGGTTTGTTGGTGATTAACGAGTTTGTTAAATTATGTATCTCACCCTATATAATGTTTAAGAACTTGACTATACGGATGGTCTCATTAATGAGGTGAATTCGAGTCGAGCTATAGACAAATATAAATAAAAGTTTTAGTAAACAGACCCAACTCAAACCAGTCCCGAGCTGGGCAAAATTCAGTTCTACTAGGCTAATTTGGAGTTTCCATTAAAGTTCAAAATTTGAAGGGTCCATATCTGCTATTCTACAGATATATGTATAATTATTTTGTCAGGAATCCAAAGGTGGCCATGTTTACCTTTTTTTTCTTTATTCACGTGATATATTTAGTCAGTGTTCTCATTCGCTGTTGTTCACACCTTTTCTATCGTGTGCACATATAGCCTTCACATTTACGCTTCTTGAAAACTGAAAAGCGATAGAGGGAAGGGCCAACTCGTTTGCCTCGTCCTTTTATTTTTTTACAAATTTATTTGGGTAAATACAATATATTAGTTACGATTATATAATATTGATATATGGATGACCAATGAGCTACTACATTAGATGTTCACTTGAAAGTTACATGTAAATTGTAACCCCTATTTCTACATCATTATCTCTCATTCATATGCATGGATATACGGATGTAGTGGTTACCAAAGTGTGCCAATAAATAGAGCACACCATTGTATCAAAAGTGAAGAATGAATAAGAAGAATTCTTCCCCTCTCTTCTCTTGTGTCTTTCCCTCTCTAATATTCTCTTGTAGTTGTTTATATTTTCTATTAGTTTCATTCCACGTTATCAGCACGAAGCTCTGTCAAAATTGTCATTGGTCAAAGACTCTCAACATAATCTAAGATATTGGAGTAAGATCACAATATGATCAAGGTATCTAAATCTTATCTCCTTTCTTATCTTATTGTCTTATTTGTGTTGAGATTATCTCATTCCAATATATCAAGATGGGTGCTACTCTTTTCTCATAGTAGACCATCCATTGATATTTTATCACATACATCTATTTGGATTAACAAGAAAAATAATATAAGTGATGAGTTAATTTCTCAGTTCTCCGGGTTATCCTATTCTTATCAATCCTACATTGATATGGAGAAAATGCAAGTTCCAAGAGCCCATATATTCCACAGAAGTGGAAATTGAAGAATCCAAGGGCAAAGAAAGAAGTGGGCATGGACGCATGGTAACAAGAATATTGGTTATGTATGTTACCATTGTAATGAAAAAAATGTGTTTGTCTCGTACCCGTTGTACGCAAAAGACCTTATTCTACCAAGAATCAAAGGGAACAACTGATTTATATACGCTCCAGCAATATTTTTTTGTATTATAAGTTGGTATATTCTTCATTAAAGATGAAAATGATATTGCACTTGAGAAATTTTCATTTCCAGAATTGAATGAAATAATTTATTCCCGAAGTGAATGAAGCTATAAACATTATATATATACGTTAAATGTATTGTTTGGACCTGATGTTCATAAGATGATTTATCATTACCAACTATCAAATACCTTACTGACCATACAAAGTGACCAAGTTATATATACTAGCTGCGAATGCTCCAACTAAATTTGATATCCTTGTTGGATACTCTAATATAAAGAATGTGTCTAAAGAGCGCATAAAGCGTGATAGACCAATCAGTTACAATGATAAATTTTCTCGACAAAGAAAAGGAGCTGTAATTAGAATGGTCAACTCAAGGACATGAAAACTCAAGAAGAGTAACCAAGAATAAAGTGTATTTTATTTCCAAAAGAATACATATCTCTGAAAGTTGTGAAAGCGAAGAGATCTCATAAACATATTAGACTACAATACTGGAACCGTAATGAAGTCATTGTCGACGAAATTTGTTTGTTGTACTTCAGTACTGAATATGATATATACAAGTGAGGATCAAGAGTAAAACTCTATTGATGCATGCAAATGACGATGTTATTGGCCAATATAGAAAGAAATCATGAAACTTGCTCAAAGAGCATAAAGTTTAAGGACCAAAAGTCCTTACACTTGAAAAAGGTAAAAATAGCGGGATACAAACAAATTTTTGTGCTATTGGAAAAATGAAATTGGGAGAGATATAGCATAATTTTTTTGCAATGGGTTTCTCGAAGAGACCTATCATGTTTGAGAGGAGTTATGCTCCCATGTCCCATGTGGTGGATGCAACTGCTTTTTCAAATCAATGTTTAAATCTATGTTTGAAAATTATTGTGATAGTCTATTTGTTTGAATTACCTGAAGATGTATATATATACGTACGCCCCATTGAGTTTTTCTATATAGATCATGAATTAATCGGAGTTTGGGGCATGATACTATACCCTAACCTCTAATGGGTGAACCCCAGTCCCTAATTTTCTAACCCAAACCATGAGGTTCGTTTAATCTTAAAATGAAAACCAATGAAAATTTTGACGAATCAGAATCGTTGATTTTCATTTTTAAGATTAAACGAATCTCATGCTTTGGGTTAGTGAATTGGGGACTGGGATTCACCCACTAGGGGTTAGGGTATAGTATCATGTCCGAAACTCCGATTAATTCTTTGTCTAAATAGCAAAACTCAACGGGGCGTACGGTAGGTTAGGGTACGTCCGGGGGTACGCTAGCCTTTGCCATATATATATATATATGGTGACTTCTACGGTGCCCAGGGCAAAATCCGGGTACGGGTACCTTGCCCGATCTTAACCATTCGTTTTCAATCTCCACGGCTCACGTTTGTTAAACCTTCCTGCGCACTAAATAACTAAACAAATTACAAAAAGGCTCCTGCCGCGTTAAGTTTTTTTTTCCATCCTAGTCCAACTAACTGACCCGATTAAATTAAATGGATTAAGACTGCAAACCCAATTGGGTAGACCCACTGCCGCCCTAACCAATTTCCAGTCTCCCTAACCAATTACACGATCCCTCTCTCGTCTTGGAGGGACGCCCCTTCACAGTTCCAAGAGAAGCTCCCCATCCAATTTGAACTCCCCAACTTAATCATCTTTTTGAATCCCAATTACTTGCATCCACATTCGACGTAGATTGAATTTTCCAATTTATTTTGTCTTGTTTCTTCTTCGCCATTTTATTTTCCCTCGCCTATCTCTTTCTAACACGATTACGGCGACCGTGTCTATTATTGTGTTCATCAAACTTTTCATTTGCAAAAGAACCCTTGAAAGAGGTTTGCTAACCCTACGGTTCATGTCGCTAGTGCTTTGTCATCTTGTCTTAGCGTTATTGTGATTTTCTCGAACCTTATATCTCTCGGTGAAATTTAGGTTTCCTGATATGTAGTGTTTGTCTCGCCCAGAGGATTGAGGAAGAAGATGAAGACCACATAATTTGATTCGAATCGGATGGAGAGGTCTCCTTAGTTTGTGTTTATGTATTAACGGTGCGTTTAGGAGTAATTCTAGTTGGACTAGGTCCGATCATTGATTTTTGGAGGCTTTTAAATAACATTCAAACGTGGGCTTGTACATGAACATGACCCATGCAATATTCAAAAGTGGGCCTGGAACGTGCGAGCCCATTTGTTTTCTCCTGCAGTATCAATTCGTGCGCCAACCCTAGTTTAACTAGCTTTACTTACCCTAGTTTAAGCTACACGAGTTAACATCATCATTACTGTAAATCTTTTGCGGAAATGGGGATACTATCTCTATCAAACGAAGACTGCCGATTCATCGCAAGTCTCGGGGACTATCTTTCATTCACAAGCAAGACATCAATTGTGGCCGAGTACGAGTTCATCCACCTGAGTCCTTTCCCTGAAGAAGTGAAGAAGTTAATTAAAAATCTTGGCTGGAAAAGTTCTTTGATCTCCGGAGTCGAGGAAGCACCAGTTACTGCCCGCATGTGGTGAGGAAGTTCTACCACAATTTAGAGCTGTCTGGTCCCTGCGATTCTCATCTCGTGTCGATCTTCCTGGGTCATAGAGTCTGCTTCCAGCCTCATCAGTTTTCTGAGATCCTCGATCTCCCCGCCGCAGGACACCCCATTGATAGCAGAAGCGATCTTGGGCGGCTGTACGATTTTGAGTTTGAAGTTGAACTGGCAAAACTGACGAAAGGGGCGCATCCAGGCTTCTTTCCTCCCAGATCCTCTTCGATTCCTCCACTGGATGATCGTCAACTGCTTCATGCCAAGGTATCGTGGTCATTCGATTATTCGTAAACTTGACCTGTTTATCCTTGTGCAAGCTCAAAGAGGTGTTCCTGTTAACCTCGCATCTCTCATGTGCCTGAACATGGTTGAGGCTGCTCCTAGAGGGGAAAACTGGTACACTGCCTTTCCATATGCCACCTTCTTGACCACCTTTCTTGAAAGGGTTGGGATGGATATGGGGGTTTATGCTAAGGAGGACCAGTGCACCTATTTTCCAGTCTACCGTATCGTCGAATTGACCAATACTTTTATTGACCTTCGGCATACGGAGCATGAAGAGACCCCTGAGGCATCCTCAAGAAAACGTCCTCGGCTTACATGAGAGTCGATTGATGCAGGGCGGGGTGGAGCGTTGGAGCAGCAAAGGGGCCAGCATTGGATGTCTTTTGTTAATAAGTTTACTAAGGCTTTGTTGGTTTTTTTTTTCCAGTCTTTTTCTCCAGCATTCAAAACTGTCAGGTACTGAGGGGAGCCAGTACATCATCTGACTAGGAAAGTCTCCCATTTTTTTAATTATCCAGACAAATATTTTTCTATGCATGCAGTATTTTGTGAATTTGCCATGGCTAATTTCCCTAAGACAGGTGACGAGATGCAGTAATGGTCATCCCTAAGCAAGGAGGTGCAATTGCATCCTACACTTGCTATGATGTGAGAAGCTATTGCAAGGGTGCAAATTTGCTTGCAATTGAAATTGGCCCACGAGTGGGGACTATTGATGAAATTGCAATGTTTTCTCAAAATTATAGAAGTGGAAGTAGGGGACTACCTATGAAATTGCAAATGAATTTCATTGGGGGAGATTTTAATCCGCTTTTGTTCTAAGCAGTTCCAATTAGGTCTAAGAATGTGTTACTTATTTAATCTTCATTTTTAATGGTTTTCGAAGATTATGGTTTTATTTATATTTGGTCACAAGTATAGTGACGATGATAGGCGTGAATAGTATGGATATGGCTTGATTATAATGATTTTTTTATCTATGGTGATTTTTTCCCTCTTTTTCATCAAGACTCATGCTTCTTTTATCCCCCTGTGAATCTATTATGCTTCATTTATAGTAAAATATCCTTTTAATTATACACAATAAAGAATCCATTAATTATGTATGCATTTTTATTGTATTTATTACTACAATGAATTCTCTGACTAAAAGGGGAGTGAAAACATCGTTGGTGGAAATTCAAGGAATGGAAGCCTTTCCATTTCCTAGGAACATTAAATTAATTACATAAGAATTTTCTATCTGCCTTGTACGGGGCTTGGTCATTAATTATACTGATTGGGAGCCAATCAGTTTTACCTTTAGGGTTACCGATACATGAATGCAAATTTAATTATACGATTGGGAGCCAATCAGTTTAACTATACATGATCCCAATTAAACCTTTCTACAAGATACAATGGCTTGAAGCCTTGAACAGAAGCAACCTCACTCACAAGTTGGAAGCTGGAATTTTGGTGAAGTCCCTTTGCCATTTCCACGAAAAAACAAACCAAACCAAACCAAATATAGAAAGCATTCACAATACCAAAAACCAAATATAGAAAGCATTCACCAAACCAAAAACCAAACCAAAAACCAAATATAAAAAGCATTCACCAAACCAAACCAAAAACCAAATATAAAAAGCATTCACCAAACCAAAAACCAAAAATAAAAAGCATTCACCGAACCAAATAAAAAACGGTTGTCCATCATCCCGAGAAAAAGAAAAACATAACTGTTGTCCATCATCTTGAAAACTAAAATGAAAAATCAGGTTGTTCTTGGGCTCGTTGACTGGGTTTCCTTGTGCTCTTCTCTTTCCTTTTTCCTCCTTTCATGGGTTTTCTTGTACTCTTCCACTGCAGCTTCAACTTGAGGTGCAACTCTTCTTGCTTCCGTGAGCACCATATGCCTTATGTAGTTCATGGGCTCTCGAACAAGGTACAAAGCGATCTGCATCCTCCTCACTTGAGTGCATGGCTATCAACATCAACAAACATGGTGCTTTCCGCATGATTCAAAAATAACAATCAATTGTGGTTTTCTAATATGCGAATTAGAATTGTCTTTACCCAAATATAAGAGGAGTCCCAGCTTGCGCCATACATCCACATGCATACCCAGACTCCACTGTCAGACCTACATAAAATAAAAGCATTGCGTGATAAGAACCAAGTTGATAAGTCGTCGTTTAATATCACAAAAAAATGGGCATACTTACCGATGAAGTTGTTCTTGATCCTTTGAAGGATTTGGGTACGAAAACTCCGCAATCCTTGGTGGCGACAATCCCGGACCTTGTTCACGATAGAGAATCTTCCACAAGGCTTGCATAAATCTCATCTGTACAAATTAAGAAACGTTTGTACTTAGAAAGAGTTATTTACATTTTTTTGCGTTATAACGGCACAATGTCACAAATTTACCATTGTTTGAACATATTGTAGTCGAAAGGAATTGCGGTCTTCATTTGGTTGTGGATCCAAGATATGGACTTCTTCTTGTCCAACTTAATGACAGCCAAGTACCAATGGGCATTATCTCTCATCGGAACACACACCTACATATGCGGAAATTGTCAACACGTATTAAAAAAATAAACTGCAAACCATGTAATACTTATTAAGACGAACAGTTTACCTTGTCAACACGTATATATTTTCGGAGCATGATCAACAAGTACGCGTCAATGTCGCCCAGAAGAACCATCATATGACGTAGGGTTCCACAACACCTATTATGGAATCGTAACAACATATGATGATTCTTCCGGCGATATTCAGACGGCGATTTATTGTCATTGCTCCCCTCCCTGCCTCTAACAAAGACCCTGCATGGAGAGCAAAGGAGAAACAATACAACGAAGGATTTAGTTTAACAGTCATGATCTAACAATGACATAATGAAAGGAACTGAGATCTAAAATAATACGCAGTCTCATCATTACCACTGCACCCGAAAATAAAGCATGGGACAGGAGGACGAAGAGGCGGATGGGGTTGATTTTCGGGGTTGAGAAGATGGGAGAAAGGGGTCTTTTCAGGTATTGAGAGGAGGAACGAACAACAGAAGGAGATGAGTGCCTCTCGGGTTTCGGAGCATGGTCTCTCCCTCTCTGATTAAAGAATTTATAAATGAGCTCATAAATTTACTTTGCCTTTCCAGCCCTTCCCATTTACTGAAAATCACACTCCCTACCGCTGCCTCGGCCTTGGTAACGTCAGCACTGGTTAGGGGCAAATGCGACTTTCCGAAAACGGCGATATCAGATTGGGTGACACGCCGCGATTTGGATTGAAGCTCTTTCACCATCGGATTAAAGGAAAAGTTTAGGAATTGACGGCGGGAGATGGGGATGTGCTTTTAGACTGGCTTTGTAGATTAACTAACTTTTTCGTTTACCAAAATTAATCTACTGATTTGGTACATGTAATTGTAACCCTAAACCCTAAACCCTAAACCCTAAACCCGACCCAATCAATACCATATACTCTACAACAATAACACCTTATAGGCTTATACCCGAACCAATCCATCCCATTGCTTATTTAGTGGAATCCTAGGTGGCACCATTATTTAGCAAGATTGCAATGCCACCTAGGATATTTTTTCTAAACTAGCAAGATTGCTAAATTAGGAATTCTTCTTGCAATGCCAAACCCTAATACACGAACCAATCAATAACATATACTCTACAACAATAACACCTTATAGGCTTATACCCTAACCAATCAATACCATATATACTCTAAACCATCAACACCTTGCTTATTTAGACCATCTCCAATGGTGCAATTCTTGAGAATTGCAAGCTGATGTGGCAAGGGAGTGAAAGTGGGATGGTGAGTTGCATTGATGTGGGATCAATTATAAAAGTTGCAAATTTGCATCTGATGAATGTTTTCATGCAGTTGCAAATTTTCATGCAGCACACACACATATACAATTCCAATCATAATACTTTACATAATTCGAATAACACAACGACAAAAAACAACTTGAGAGAAAACTCAAATTAATATAACACACTCACCAATTAATATTGAATTGCATTGAAAATTAAGTAGGACCCACGGTCACAATTGATGTATAGTTAAAGTTGCTGAAGTGACAATTGGGACCATATATTTGCTCGGTGTTGGAAACTTGAACTGAAACTGGAAGTCCTCCTATGCCGAGTCGTTTGGTATATAAGAAGACTGTTGGCTCTTGCGGTGTAGTTTAATTTATGCACTCATATAATGGTCAGTTGAAGGCAATTTTTAAGCACTCTAAATAAATCATGTGCAACATTTCAGTTGAATAATCTTGAGAACTAGTTTTTTTATTCAATTATTATATCGTATTTTTGCACTAATTTTGAGCACTCATTAAATGGGTAGAGCATGTGGCGACAGAGGAGCAGAGTTCGAAATCCGGAAAAAAATCCGGTTGGCCCAATTGTAAAGACTTCTAAAAATGGAGTCAGTAGTCAACAAATAAAGTACAATATTTTTATTGGGAGTGTAGGATCCCCTGCAGATTTAGAAGATCTCAAACGCTAATAGTACAAAGTACAGTATTTTTATTGGGAGTGGAGGATCCCTCGCAGATTTAGAAGATCTCAAACACTTTTGGAAGCCGCCATGGAAGCGAAGAGAGAAGCAGAAGAAAAAATAACAAAACAGTATACAAATATAAACAAATGTTACATATAGTCCAACAAAAACAAAAAGCTGTACTTTCCCTCCCTATTTTATCCTATTATACATATGGCAACTTTCCTATCTTGTATACATTTTGGGAGCATGATCAACAAGTACGCGTCAATATCGCACAAAAGAACCACCACATGAAGTAGGGTTCCACAACACCTATTATGGAATCGCAACAACATGTGATGATTCTTTCGGCGATATTCAGACGGCGACTTATTGTCATTGCTCCCCTCCCTGCCTCTAACAAAGACCCTGCATGGAGAGAAAAGGAGAAACAATACAACGAAGGATTTAGTTTAACATTCATGATCTAACAATGACATAATGAAAGGAAATGAGATCTAAAATAATACGAAGTCTCATCATTACCATTGCACCCGAAAATAAAGCATGGGATAGGAGGACGAAGAGGCGGATGGGGTTGATTTTCGGAGTTTCATATTGAGAAGATGGAAGAAAGGGTTCTTTTCAGGGATTGAGATGAGGAGGAACGAACAGCAGCAGCAGATGAGTGCCACTCGGGTTTCGGAGCACGGTCTCTCCTTCACTGATTAACGAATTTATAGATTGACTCGTAATTACTTTTACTTTCCCTCCCTTCACATTTACTGAAAATTACACTCCCTACCACTGCCTCGGCCTTGGTAACGCCAGCATTGGTTATGGGCAAAAGTGACTTTCCGAATTCGGCAATATCTGATTGGGTGACAAACACGCGACAAGGATCGAAGGTATTTCACCATCGCATTAAGGGAAAAGTTTAGGAATTGACGGTGGGAAATGGGGATGTGCTTTTATAAATAGTCTGAATTTGTAGATTAACTAACTTTTTCGTTTACCAACGTTACTCTATTGATCTGGTTTATGTTGTTCTAACTTGAATCATAACCCTAAACCAAACCCTAATACACGAACCAATCAATACCATATACTCTACAACAATAACAACACCTTATAGGCTTATACCGTAACCAATCAATAACATATATACTTTAAACCATCAACACCTTGCTCCTCCCTTATACCATAACCTTCAAGACCTTATACTGTATACCAACAACACCTTCTTCTATCTCCATCCCCAACTTTCAATTTATAATAAGTGTTTCCTTTGAAATATAAAATGGAACCCACCTTGGCAATTGCTAGCATAATTTAGGGATGTAGATGAATAGAAATTGATAAGTG